CGCCAAACATTCGGTAGAATTTATAGAATATTGTAAAAATTATGGTCTATTACCAACATATATATATATTTATATATATATATATATATATATATATATATATATTTGATAAGTATACAAACATGTTTGTCGTAATTAATGATGTTTTGTACTTCTTAATTAATTACTTTGATTTGCTGGACAAAGAAAGTTTCATTTATAATGTTTCTGAATTTTACACCCTCAAAGATATTTCTGGTGCTGTTAAATTGTTAAAAAATGATTATGAAGCTGTTAAGGGTAAAATCTGTGAAAAATTTGCTACGCAGGATACTAAGAAAAAAGATAAATTACTGTGTTGTATTTCGATTTTGAAGTGTCTTAAAACTCATGGATTAATGGATAAATGTCCCGTTTAAGTTAGTAAAGATTTAAAAAAATTTTTTGTCTAGAAAATTTTATAAAGATAAATTTTGAGGGATTACGTAATGATATTTCTGAATTAATAAAAAAATCAACAGATGGTTATCAATGATAAAAGTGAAGCATGTAACAACTGTGCGTGGTCAATGACAAATTAAATACTATAGCGAGCAATAGTAGTAGGTCGTCTAAAGTAAACCTTGATAGGAAAATTAATTTTTCCTTGAGGTTCTAACTGGGTGGATGATGTAGCTTTAAAAACGCCAATAGAAAGTCAAAATGGTTTCGAATTGGTCGAGCCCAGAAAGAGGCGTGCTGATTCACCTTCACATAATAGGTCGAATGTGAAAAATTTGGTTGGGCGTAGACTGCCTCAGAACTCAAAAATTGCAGCTAGTAGTTTAATGACTAGTAGAAAATTCTATCATATCAGCAACGTTGCCAGATGTGCTAGTGAAAACCGGATTGAACATTTGCGACTCATAGGAGTGGAGGCCATTTCCTGCCATCCAGCGTTCGAAAAGTCAATTGAAATCAATCCTAAAGACACGAATCAGTCCACATCCATCAGGCTATGGATCGACAGCAAATTTATTGATATAGTTGAAAACATCGACTCATGGCCAATTCAAGTCAAGGTACGGGAATGGATCTTCCCACAAAGCTTCAGTCAAACAGTCCAAACACCGCAGTTTACAATGGCTAGTGATATAGATCCTGATGTGAATTATTATGGTAAAACGATATTATCATTTTAATGTTGACGATGTTAAAAATTTATTTTCTTCTAATGTCAACGATTTTAGTGTTTTGCATTTTAATACTAGAAATGTTTTAAACAAATTAGTTGACATTGATCTCTTTTTATATCAATGTGACATTAAATTTATGAATATCGCTGTTACTGAAACGTGGTTAAATAATGATAAGGCTCTTTTAGTGGCAATTCCAAATTATAATACCTTTTAAAATAGCCTCTTTATTCAGCAGGTGGTGGGGTTGGTTTATTTCTGCACCAAGATCTTGCTGTCCAAGAGCTTGTTGATTTACGATCCTCATCGCAGGGTTATGAATCAATGGCAATTGAAATTTCAGTGAAAGACAATCGAAAAATGGTAATTATTGTTTTTTATATGCCTCCTGACTCTGATCCATTTGTTGTTACAGACCAACTTTCTAATGTCTTAAGAATGAATAAGGCTTTACGTCAAAAAAGGTCTATATTGTAGGTGATTTTAATATTAATTTAAATGGGTCTGACAATAATAATTTTGTTTCGTATTTTGCAAATACCTTATATTTATTGCATTATCGTCCGTTGATTTTTAAAGCCACTAAAATTACCGACCACAGTTTGTCTGTCATTGACAACATATATACAAACAATTTAGTATCCCATGTCTCTGGAATCATTTTCATTGATATATTGGATCACCTACCTATATTCATAATAGCTGAAGAAAAAGTATTAGATGTTGAGGTTGAAGTGGTAGATAAGTTATGTTTTTCTAGACAAAACCTGGAAAAGGTAAATAACCAGTTGTTAACCTTTGATTGGTCGGCTGTCAAGATACATTCAGTATGTATTTTGTACATTCAGTAATGTATTTTAATAGCGCTCTGAAATTCCCCTGATTGTTATCAGATTTGAGATCTAATGCACCGTCATCCCACGCAAAGCAAAATTTCGTCTTCCACAAAGTTTAATAGTTTCAATAATAGTGTTAAGCAATTTTCTGTTTTGCCCTATTTTGTGAAAAGAGCGGAGTTTGATAACTCTAAAACATTCAATTCAATTTCAATTCGTTTATTTTCTCAAAAGAGGGGTAAACTAAAAAAGCAACCAAATGCTTGTAAGAAAGTCACCCTATCCAAATAAAATCAACATTGATCAACAAAAATCAAAAATTAAAATAGTTCGACAAAAATCAAGGATTAAACTAGATCGAAATAAATCAAAAGTTATTGAACTGCAGATTCTATTCTATTAATCTTATGAAACAGAGATATAGTTCAAAATGAGTACATAAAATTAAAGTTTTGAATTTAGGATTCTATAGCATTTCAATAAATTAAATGATATGAAACCAAATATAGTTCAAAAGTAAGAGTACATATATATATACATACCTACATACGCACATACATACATACTTACATGCATACATGCATACATTCATACATACATACATACATACATACATACATACATACATACATACGTACGTACGTACCTACGTACATACATACATACATACATACATACATACA